AACAGCCTCCTTGGGGCACCTGTGCCCGTGTTTAATTAACCTCAACATAAAAAAAAAAAAGATATTTGTTATGTTTAAATGGAATTTCCTGTTTTTTCTAGTTTGTGCCCATTGCCTCTTGTCCTTTCACTGGGTACCACTGAGAAGAATGTGGCTTTGTCTTCGTTACTCCATCCCATCAGGTATTTATACATATTAAGAAGGCACACTCACGCACAGAATCTCTTTGCCAACGGAAAAGCCCCTTCAACAGGGACAATGCATTTCTTTAAGGTGCCTGAGACTCAAAAAAGTCAATAGTTTGCATTGGTAACTGGTCATATAGTATTGATACAGCTTATAGGACGACCAGCAGGTTGACATTACTCTGTGAGTTATTTATTATCTACCTTAGAAGCAACTGGGATGAGTCGGTCACCAGGACTATTTCATGTACTAGTCATGCCCTTTGCTGTCCCCTCCCTCTGCTGTTTGGGGCACAGAGTTGGGTCCTCACTGCTGTGCCCTGGAGGAACATCACTGATGTGGAGCCCAGACCCACTGCACCAGTGTGGAGCAGTGGGTGCATGCCTGGTTTTGAGGACTCATAGTGTTAAAAGGCAGAAGGAAGTGTGGGTGGGGTGAGGGGGTTACCCATGTGCCACACTGTTCACCGTGTCTTGCTGCACCCTGCAAGCTCACAGATGCAACATCATGACCATGGTCAAGGCTGGGAAGGAGCAGGCTCATGCTCTTGCCTGATCCCATTTCAGAGCAAAAGAGGGGTTATAGCAATGCTTGAGAATAAAGCATAAGAGGTCTCAAAAAATTAATTCCTGGGTGTCTCCTGAATAGAAATACAGATGCAACACACCACTGGGGTAAACTGAGAAGGTTTCAGTTTTAACACTTTATTTAAACTACATGTACTTAAACCCATTCAGCTCACGGCTGCAAGATAGTGATGATGCGCCTTGCTTAGGAACCAGTGTGTGCAGTAAGAACACGCACATCAGCGGGTGAAAAGTAAGAGCCTCCATCTCTTTGTGCTTCAAACTGTGCAGCTGTGAGGGGAAAGGAGAGATCTGAGGGTTAAAGGCACTGACTGTGGCTTAGGCAAACTGGAGCTGCGGAACTGGTTTAGTTGCAAAAGGGCTGGAGACACTGACATTCCTCGCTGTTGAAAGTGTAAAGCAGGGTCTGCTCAGAGTGTTGAGACAACGGCAGCGGGGGTAGTGATGTGGGTTTCAGAAGAAATTCCAACCCGGTCATTTTTGAAAATAACTCTCTTTAATGAGACATCACCAAGGTACTAACGGTGACCTACTCCCTGTAACCCACCTGAGCAATTCCTGTGTTTGGGAAAATTCTCCCTTCTGCTTTTCTGTCCTGTGCCATTGCCCTGCAATGATGAAGGGGTGGTTCATCTAGACTTCCCTCAATAGTCCTGCTTTCTACCGCAGATCAAACATCACAAACCCTCTGAAGATGTTATTGCTCCGTCATCCCTTTTACATAGTGAACCAGCTCCCAACTTCTCTTATCAGTGAGGATCCCCCCTAGGAACCCCTCACTCCTCCACACCTCTCAGCCCAAAGCACTCCTCTGCCATTACACCCTGCCCTGCCCCATGCAGAGCATCCTCCACATTCACCTTCCCCTGGTGCCCCAGCCAGGCTGGGTCTGTGGCCCGGGCTAAGGACAGACCTCCAGAGAAGTGGTCTGTACTTCACCAATGCACATCACAGTGGGCCACAATAAGGAGCTGATGCTATTGCACATAATTTTAAAAAATAAACATCTACTTCCCAGTTTTTGTGGTTTTGCCTCTTCGCAATCTTTTAAGCATCCAGCCCAGGACACGCAGGCACTTTCCCTTCTGAGACAACAAGGGCACAAATGCCAGTCCCACCATGGTCATCCCTCAAGTGTTTAAAATTGACTTGTACTGCAGGAGGTTGTGGTTTGCTACAAAGCTACCAAGGGCCATCAGCAGCAACACAGACATCTCCATGGGCAACAGTGAGTGGATGAAGAAGATTCGAGGGAAACAAGCACTGCAACTGAGTTCCCTGTACTTAAGCCAGCACAATACATCCTGAAGACAGACAATTAGAACGATGGACAACATGTCCAAGAAATAGTACATGGGCTTCAGTCCTGTCTCACCGCGTAAGAGATGAGGAGGCATTGCTCTGACTCACAGTGAAACAGACAGAGCAGAGGTGAGAAGTTTCCAACCCTGGGAAACCTGTTGGGGGAAAAATGCAGCCCTGAAGCTGATGTTCTTGAATGCTGACATGAGCTCCATGCAGATTTGCTTGAGCTCCTAAGCCCTGAAGTGAAGAAAGATATTTATCAACTATGCTATTATAACCAGCAACAAGAATTTAGAAGCAAGGATGAAGCACAGAGAAGCATCAGTATATCCTGCTTTGAATTCCTGGCTCAGGCTCAGCCCTGCCTCACTGAAGCCAGTGGAAATACTTGCACTGAGTCTAGCAGGAAAGGAAAAGGGCCTCTGTACTTCAAATTCCCAGTACAATCCTTGAGCAGCTTACACTATTATCACTTGCAATAGTATTCACAGACTCATACCCCATTGTGCTGGGCGCTGAACAGTTGCCACAGCTGAAAACATCCACACTTCTGAAGGTCTCCTGATAGGGTCTATCACAGACACAGACACGTGGTGTTTGTGGAGGAAGGAGGTGGTGATAAATGCTTTGTCCCATTGCAAGCACACATATTATCTTACACAGAACAGAAGTCTCAGGAAAGGATAAGGACTGTAAATTTAAGTTCCAGGGGACTTTGAAGGTAAGGGTAAAAGATTACCTTGCCAAGTCCAAAGTGAGTGTGTTTCTGCTTAGTCTAAATTCTGTAGTTTTTGTGTTCATAGTATAGTTTGTCAATTTGGACGTCTCCCATCTCTGTGCTCTCAGCTAAGACACAAGTTATGTTATGGCAACAACAGGGAAATTTCAAGCTGAAAAATATATTCACAAAATGCTGTCTGGGAATAGTTTCTTTCCTCCCACAGTCCTGACAAAGACCCTGCCTGACAAGCAAAGCAGTCAGAGCCTTTCTCAGGGTATTTTGCATCATCTGAGCTGCAGGAAGTGTTGGAGAGACTGCTCTAACCCCCAGAAAATGCTGGGAACTTCTGCTTGGCTTCGGCTTTGCTCATTGTGAGCTGAGCTACATCATGTCTGAAAGGGTACACAGCCCCCGAGGAATGACTGTGCTTGTCTGACACCCACAGCTGGTTAAGCTGCAGCAACTCAGTATCTGAGCTCAGGCTCCTGGTGTTTGGAGGCAGTTTTGGGTAAGTCTGGGACAAATCCTGACAATCACAAAAAGCGCAGTGCTGCGGATGGCAGAGGGAACCTCAGATAAAACCAGATTGCAGGAGCACAGAGGTGTCACGCGTCAACGATGGAGGAGATCCTGGAGACCAAAACCCAACAGCTTCCCAAGGCACCCATAGACCTGGACTTCTCACCACAGAACAGTGTCCCGGCCAGGCTCAGTGCTGCCAACACAGGACAAGCCACAGGCTGCCCTGTTTTATAGGACACCTTTATCTGTCCCCCAGGGCACAGCACCATGCTGGAAGAACTCAGCTGCTCCAGGTGATTTTGTTTGTACATGCAGGTCTGCACCGTGAAATGATTCTTGGTCTTCTCCCCACCACACCAAAATATTCACCCCCTGGACAGGCTCCTTGAGTCCCAGGAGACGAAAGAAGCTGAGCTGCCCGGCTCGAAAGGTCATGCTCAGTGGCACAAGGTCTGGCTGGAGGTCAGTCACTAGTGTGACTAGTGAGTCAATACTGGGGCCAGTACTGTTTAACCACTGCATTAATGATCGAGATGATGGGGCAGAGTCCACCCTCAGCAAGTCCACAGATGATACAAAACTGGCAGGGGGTGGCTGATCATGCCCCTTAATTCTCCTTCAGCGTCCTGCTGTTTTCATTTCAGGAGGGGGCTGGTCTGCTTGAGGGAGCCCTCAGCAATCCCTCTTCCAAGACTCTCTCAATCTCCTTTCGAACTCATGTCAATAATTTGGATCCACAGCAACTTCAGCAAGGAGTTCCTCTGATCCTCTGATCCGCAGTCCGGACAGGCACATGATCAGACCACGCCATGCTCTTGTCCTCTCCCTCCTTGCCACCAGCCCAAGAGTGTCACAGCTTTCTACAAGGACGTTGACCGAAGGGTAAGGAAACATACACAGCCCCAGTCTGTACACCATCAATGGTGGGGAACAGGCTCCCCACAGCCATGGACAAAGGGAGCACCATACCACCCTCCATCTCTGTACCCCACCACCCACCATTCCTATGTGAAACTCATCACAGAATCAAAAAAATTCTCAAAATAAAGTTTCTGATTATAAATCCATTGGCTGGTTCTTTTGGTTTGTGCTCTTTTTTGGGAACCTTTTAGGGATTTTTCTTATTGTCCTTGTTTTCTTGTATTTAACCTATCTATCTAAATGCGATATACGTATATAAAGTGTACCTATATACAAATCAAGGAGCTGCACAGAGGCACCCGGGGGGGGGTTTGATGGAAGGCACCGGGGCATTCACTTTCCAGAATGCAAAAGTTTCACAGAGCAGGGCAAAACTGGGGAATTTTCTGAATGCACATTTTTTGCCAATTCTCTTTTTTTTTTACAGCCAGTGCCCCAAAGCGGCCTTGCTGTGGTTTAACCTCAGTTGGCAGCTAAGCACCACGCAGCCGCTCGCTCACTCCCCCCCACCCGGTGGGATGGGGGAGAGAATTGGAAGAGCACAAGTGAGAAAAACTCGTGGGTTGAGATAAAAACAGTTTAATAATTGAAATAAAATTATAATAATAATATGATAATAATAATAATAATAATACACAAAGCAAGTGATGCACAGTGCAATTGCTCACCACCCGCCGACCGATGCCCAGCCAGTCCCTGAGCAGCGGCCCCCCCCGGCCAGCTTTCCCCAGTTTATGTACTGAGCTTGACGTCACATGGTATGGAATGTCCCTTTGGCCAGTTTGGCTGTGCCCCCTCCCAGCTTCTTGTGCCCCTCCAGCCTTCTCAGTCGGTAGAGCATGGGAAACTAAAAAGTCCTTGGCTAGTGTAGGCATTACCTAGCAACAACTAAAACATCGGTGCGTTATCAACTTTGTTCTCACCCTAAATCCAAAACACAGCACTGTACCAGCTACTAGGGAGGAAATTAACTCTATCCCTGCCGAAACCAGGACAGGCCTTCACTCCCATTTTTGCACTCTGCCATTTTTTCAGAGGAGACACAGAAACCTACTTGTACGCAGTCCTGTGGGGCTCACACCCCCGAAGAGCAAAGAAATCAGCTGTGACTCCCTGGGTGAGACCCGTGGGGTTTGCTCTGGCTGGGTTAAATACGGCTTTCCAGCCCCCTGCCCAGTGCCTGCCTGCAGCAGTGTGCGCAGCCAGGGCTGTTCCTGGTCCCCAGCCTGCGTCCTCTGCTGTGACCTGGGGTAAGTATGGGGTGGGCTGCCTGAAGATGACAGAACAGAGATGTTCTTCCTCTGCAAGGACAATTTGTTTGAGGGCTCGCATAAAAACAAGAATTTACAAAAGTCTCTGGCAGAAGCAACAAACCAGCATGTTAGAAAAGTGCTAGGAGCAAATTGCTTTACTAAATATTACTTTTGAACTCATATATACAGATGGGCTTGATATGAAA